GCTGCATCAAATTTTAGTTCAATAATAAGATACGAAAAAAGAAAAACTTTCCTTGTGAACTTATTTGTCAGTTTTCTTGCTGCAAACGAAAAGAAGAATTGAGGAGAGAAGAAAGGAAAAAAACAAATAAAACTCAAATAAAATCAACAACAAAAGCATAGTGAACTGAATGATGTAGAATTGCCTTGACAGACGTATATTTTTTGCTCAGAGTTAGCTCTCAATTATCATCACCATCCTCTCTTCACTAACGACGTTGAAGACGACGTCGACGACGACGACGACAGTGATGATGATGATAATGACGGCGATGCTATTGTTGATGGCATTAATAAAAAATAAAAGCAGCAAAAAGTATTAATAAAGGTTTTCTTTGCAGCTTCTCCACCTTAGACAGGTTTTTTTTCAACCTTCTTTTAGCCTTAAAAAAGCAGCAAAATTATGTAAATAAAATTTTTTTTGATGGACTACATTATTGATGGCAGCGAGACAAAAAGCAACAACACTTTTCGCCTTTTCCCTTCTCCTTGAAAATAAAAAATGACACACTATTGTGCTGATGAGAGTATTAAATGATAATAAGCTGAAGTAAACAGTGAGCACAAATGACAATAATTAGTGATAATTATAAGCAACTTTTTTTTCTGACAAATACTTATCTGTTCCATAGCATTTTTTAAGCTTCACAGTCTGTGCCTGTGTGTTTCTGTGTTTGAATGGATGAGTTTTCTGTGTGTACAGTGCTATTAGCGGTGATTAAAGTGATCGAACTCTGATTCAAGGTTTTTATTTGCACATTATTCTGTCGTTCCGCATAACTGTTTTTTCATCTTTGCTCCATCTCTCTTATCAATCATAGTAAAATTATTTTTTGAAAATGACGAAAAATCACAGGTGCAGAAAGATAAAAACTTACCAAAGAACTTCAGTGATAAATTATTTTTGATAATTGATAAAATAGACTAGCAAATAAAACATCAAATGATAACAGATGCTTTTTTCCTTAGCTTTCGCCGATGCTAGTCACTTTTATTATTTAATTTCAAATTCATCATCTGAGATATGACAGAAGAAAAAAATTTTTGCTGCCATACAGAATTCGTAGTTTATTATATCTTAGATATATGCATATCACTGGTTCTTTTTTCACTCACTATTGTTATTAAGAAAAAAATATTTGGGAAGGAAAAGAAGAAGCAGGAATAAAAAGCAGAAGAAAAGTTGTGGAACAAAAAAAAAAGAAACGATAAAGAAGAAAAAGTATAGAAAAATAATTTTTTTTCTGTTGTAAATGTTGTGAAATATCCGTGAATTATCATCTAAACCATCATTTACAGTCCGCACTCCTGCACGGTTATGGATTAGCGTGGGGAACAAACTAATGAATAGATGATTAGATAGATGAGTATAGATTGAGTAAGAGAGTAGATTAGCACAGTTAGAAGAGGGACTGAAAGAAGGTACAAAGCCGTACACCTAGATCAATAGCGAGAACTAAAAAAAACTGTTGAATGCCTAATGTTCCGAGCATTCGTTCAAGTCTGTAGATTCCAGTAAGGCAAAAAAGAAAACTGTCGCTAATTAGAACTTTTTACTCACCGCTTCTCCGCCTTCCCCATTGCACCCTAATTAGCCAGTCCCAGCTTTTTTTTCCCTTCTCATTACCGCACTCTTTCCTTGTTTTTTTTTTCTTCATTCTCCTTCTAAATGACCCGATAAATATTTAAGTTTATGAAGGAAGTGACGCAACAATGCAGATAGCTAGAAAAAATAAAGCGAAAAAAAATTAAAAGTCAAAAAGAAGCGAAATCTTCTACGGTCAGTTCGATTCACGTTAAAAATATTTCAAAAAATAGTAAAAAGAGAAAAGTAATACAAAACAAAGACAAACTCATAAAAATCCTTCTTTGGTACTCGTATTAGTGTATTTTTGCTGGTTATTTTTTTCTACGGATTTTCTAAAAAAAAGTACCAAAGAGAAACCAAGAGGTAAAGGAAAAAATGAGAGAAGGAAGAAAGATAAAAAAATAAAAAATAGATTATATTTTTTTTCTAAAAAAACGTAAAAAATTGAAAAAAATCACCACCATGATCACCACAATGTCTTCTTCTTCTACTTCTTCGTCTTCTTCCTCTTGTCTTCCTTAACAGATTTTTCCTCCAAGTTTTTATCGAAAAAAACTTTATTTCTTTCTGTCTTTCTTTTCACTTTTTTTTTACTTATTCTCGCATAGCTTCTTTGAAAAAAAACCAAATAATGTTCCAGTATGATCAGTTGATGCAAATTTTGTCTACTGATACATACACGTACATACGTCCACGCATAAAATAGGAATATGCATATGTATGCCACCATTTTACCACTACCACCACCCGCACCGACAGCGACAACACCAGCAAATAGGCAATAACGAGACAATAACTATCATTGCATTTGGATTAGGGGAACGAACAAATAATGTTGAAAAAAAAAGAGCAAAAATAAGTGTAGCAGAAAAAAACAGAAAAAAAAAAAGAAGAAATGCAAGAATAAGCACTGAAAATATGAGCTGCAACTGTAACTTTGAAGAGAGTTAATGTTCACAAAAAAAAAAAAAAAAAAAAAAAAAAAAAAAA